TCCTGACACATAGGTTGATTTTCTCATCCTTACTCTGAGTGCCAGTTCAACACGCTGTGATGGTTTGCGTGTTGCTGTGGTGCTGGAGGCTATGCCACTGGTATTCCAAATTCCAGCAGGGTCACCCTTGGTTGACAGGTTTCAGTGGAGCTTCCAGACTAAGACAGACTAGGAAGAAAGGCCTGCTGATCTACTTCAGAAAATGAGCAAATGAAAACCTTATGGATCACAACAGGACACGTCCAACTTGCTTGCTTTGGACGTATCATCAAGAGGGATCAACTGCTGGCAGAGGACATCACGTTTGGCGAGGGCGAGGGAGACCCTCGGGGAGATAGAATGGCACAGTAGTCACAATAATGGACTCCAACATGCCAACAGTTAGGAAGATGGCATAGGACTGGGCAACATTTCATTCTGTTATACAGAAGTTTGCCATAAATCGGAGCCAACTCAGCAGGAGAAGTGGCCGATTCTCTGGTTCCTGACAGGTAATCAATCAGAGTCCTAATATAAGGACCAAATCTTGTGACCGTGTATGTACAAAATGCAGTTCCATAGCGGTACAAAAAAACCGTACCAAGAATAAGCAGTGCCCTTGTGGTGTAGTGGTTAACAGCTTGGCTGCTAACCGAAAGGTTGGCAGTTCGAATCCACCAGTCACTTCTTGGAAACTCTACGTGGGCACTTCTGCTCTGTCCTGTAGGGTCGCTATGAGTCAGAATTGACTTGACGGCAATTTTTTTTTTTTTTTTAATATCTTCTTATATCCTTTTTTACAAAACGTTTAAAAAATTCATTAGAGGATCAAGGACAGACGCCCCATCACCTATTAAATAATTCTTCATAAAAATTCTTTTTTTTTTAATTGTGTGTAAAAATGTCAAATTAGATGAATTCATCAATACCAGGATAGGATCAAATACATTTTATTATATCATTAGATACATTTCAGTATATCATTTTAATGCATTTAATATACCATTAAATACATTGTAATATATCACCCCAGAATATTGACATTTTTACAAACAATGGATTTATGAACAGATGAATCATTATGAAGTCATTGATTAATTTACATCACAAAACATTTGCCAATTCAACCGTCTTCACATGTAGAAGAGAAAAATGGATTCCCTGCCCGCTGCGCACTTGCTCAAACTGCTCAGCAGAAGCACCACGACCCCCGGGCTGTGACACCCGAGGTTGATTGACCTGGGTTGGGATTGATCTTCACATGTGGGCTGGATGGACATAAGGTGATAATAACAGCATCCTCGTGTGCAGCTTTCAAAAGCAAGTGGGAGATAGAGGCTCTTAAAATGAATTTGTTCCAGGAGCCTGAACTCTCTGCGGATTTTAAACGCACCGAGACTTGACTTGAATATCAAGTTCAGAATGCCCTGCAGATTTGCAGCGGTTTGAGCAAGAGCTGCAGGGGATTCGAGCCTCCCTCTTTCTGTGATGTCTTCTCCTCCTTTCTCCCACTGACCCTGACTAGGGTGGCTAAGTGGCTACAAATGCCAGCTCTGTCCTGAAGACACTTGTCAGACCTGGGAAGAAAAAAGGAGGGAGGACGTGAGGAGAATCTTAAGGCTTCTTTTCATTCCAGTTGCTGTCAAGTTGACTCCGACTCATGGCGACCCCACGTGTGTCAGAGTAGAACTGCGCTCCACAGGGTTTTCGGTGGCTGATTTTTCGGAAGCAGATCATCAGGCCTTTCTTCCAGGGCACCCCTGGGTGGACCCAAACCGCCAGCCTTTCGGTTAGCAGCCGAGAGCATTAACTGTTTGCATCATCTGGGGACTGCTGAGCGTAAGGTTGCCCACTTCCTTTTAAAAGCCTGCAGTGGATATTGGTGTTGGCTGCACAAAGTGATGTAACTGGTTTCATTGACTTGTACAAGTCACAGATACTGAACTGGCAAATGTCATGTTATCTATGTTTTTTACAACAACAAATAATAATAAAAAGAAACACACCATGAATTTGGAAACTGAAAAAAAAGTCTGCTGCAGACGGGAACCACGCAGAGAAGTTTCTTTGCACGTCCTCGTATGTCTGCCTGTCATCTTGACCTTGTCTTTAACAGGCGAGTGTGCGCGCCCTCGTTGGCCCTGTACTTCATCAAACGTGTAACTGGACACCGGGAGCTGTCCCACATCTCTCAGTATCAGCCACACCACAGACTGGAGGCATCTCATTATATGCGCTCTTTGATATGTGCATAGCTTCCACTGTGATACCCAGCTTCTTCCAAAGAACCACAGAGACTTACTCATGAATAAGGCCACAATTTGTCGTACCACGGTGATTTGTGTGTTGCTGGGATGCTGCAAGCTATGCCATCAGTATTTCAAATACCAGCAGGGTCCCTCATGGTGGACAGGTTTCAGCGGAGCTTCCTGACTAAGACAGACTAGGAAGAAAGGCCTGGCAATCTACTTCTGAAAATCAACCAGTGAAAACCCTATGGATCACAACAGAACACTGTCCAGTACAGTGCTAGAAGATGAGCCCCTTAGATCGCAAAACACTCAAAATACACAGTGGCCTCAACAATGGGCTGGAGCACACCAACGATCATGAAGATGGCGTGGGACTGGGCAACATTTCCTTCCGTTGTACACGGGGTCACCATGAGTCAGAGCCAACTCAGCGGCGACAAACAAGACAACAGGTATCCGGAGCCTTTTGATGGGTGACTGTGCAGACACCAATAATTATTGTTTTGCATTTATTCCCCTAACTTATTTTATATATTGGTCAGTTGGTCATGAAACACCTATAGTTGTCATTGTCGTTTGACAAATTATCAAAGCAGTTTAAGTGTGTTTGGGATGCTTTCCAGTTGAATGTCTCTTCAGTTTTAGATCAAAAGCTATAAAAATGATGTGAAAAGGGATGTCCTTTTTCTGCACCTAATTCTGGTTATTTCGTGCATTTTAATTCTTTCTTTTTGTGTTTTTGCCACTTAACTACCCCAGGAACATTTTTCAGGCTTGATTAGAGGATTGTTGATACCAGTCAGCTCCTCAGAAGGTCGTGACATTGCCAAACGAATAGGAAACTAATCAATCAGTTCGTAATTATTTGTTTGTAAATTCATTTTTTTTTGGTAAAAAATTTCAATATTCTGGAGTTGAGTGGAACACAGAAATTATATATTAAAATCTATTTAACCGTCCTACCCTGGTATTGATGAATTCTCCTAATTTGAAATTTTTAACAGCTTTATCGAGGTGGGATTTACATCCCATGAAATGCACTAGTTTTTGTAGGAGAATTGAACGGTTTTTCGTAAATGTATGGAGTTGCACAATTCTTATCACAACCTACTTTCGGAACGTCTGCTCATCCCAAAAAGACCCATCTCACCTATTTGCAGTCACTGCTCATCCCCACCCCAGCCTGATGGCAGCCTTGATTTGGTACTTTTGGATATTCTCAGCACTGAGAAATAAAGCGTTGGCTTGGATCCTGGCACACGTAAAATTACTCCTGAGAGCAGCTTTCTCTATATGGCTTTGTCACCGCCCCTGTGTCCCTGAGCATCGAGCCCGCCTCTTCCTCTGCTTTTGTTTTAAACCCCAGGGCAGGATGCAAGTTTGAAGCCATGCAGTTGCAGATGAAAAGATGGCAGAGCTGGGAGCTTGTACTGTGTTCGTCAATACATAGTTATTGAGTGCCAGCTCTGCATTTCCAAGCCGTAACGTTTATTAAACAAAGATGACACTCTTGTATGAGTTCTATGCTCAAACAGTTAATAAGGTTTCTCATCTCTCACCAGCTCAGTGTTGACGAATAAATTAGGGTTTGAGAAAAGCGGGGTCGGGGGAGCAGAGAGAGAGACTTTCCGAAGAAGAAGTTGCTGTGGTTTTAACACGCCTGAATTAGCAGTGAGGGCAGTGGTGGCTCCGTGGTAGAATTCTTGCCTTCCATGCGGGAGACCCGGGTTCGATTCCTGGCCGGTGCACCTCATGCGCAGCCACCACCTATCTGTGCTGTGGTGCTGAACAGGTTTCAGTGGAGCTTACAGACTAAGAAGGACTGGGAAGAAAGGCCTGGCGATCTACTTGGAAAAATCAGCCAGGGAAAACCCTGTGGCTCACAGTGGTCTAATCCACAACCGATCATAGGGATGGTGCAGGACCACGCAGTGTTTGGCTCCTTTGAGCGTGAGGTTGTCATAAGTCGGGAGCTGACTCAACGGCAGCAGGACTGGGCAGCTTTTCCTTCTGTTGTGCTTGAGGTCGCCATGAGTCCGGGGCTGACTGAACGGCAGCTGACAACAGCAACATAGATGCAAACCCAAGGCTTGGAGCAATTAGTATCGTGCAAAGTCTCCACATCTATAAACTAATAAATTAGCAGGAGGTAGAATATTAAGGAGGCAGTGGTGACTCAGGAGAATTCTGGACTTCCATGCGGGAGACCTGGGTTTGCTTCTGGCCAGTGCACCTCATGCACAGCCACCACCCGTCTGTCACTGGAGGCTTGCATGCTGCTGGGGTGCTCAGGAGATTCTAGCACAACTTACAGACCAAGGCAGACTAGGAAGAAAGGCCTGGTGATCAGCCTCCAAAAATCAGCCAATGGATCATGACAGTCCAAGCCACCACCGATTATGGGGAAGGTGCAGGACTGGGTAGCGAGTGCATGAGGTTATCACGAGTTGGGAGCTGACTGGACCGCAGCTAACAGCAATCACAAAATTTGCAGCAACACAGCTGTGCTTAATTGCTTTAATCTTTCTTTCTTTCCTTAACCACTTCTGGCAAAAACAAAAAACCCAGCAATGCATGTTCTTTAGCTGTGGTCCTTACACTTTTGGTCCTGAAGTGTGACAAATACATACATGTCATAAGCGATGATAAGCCTCCACCCTCGTAAAGCGTGCAGCAGCCTAATGTCTGGGTATTTCCACACTGGTTATGGATACCGTGACGCCCTGCACAACCTAACGCAACCCCAACTTCTGTCCTGTCCCCCCACAGGCACGTCGATCTGGAAAGCCTTCTTCTTCACACCCAAGTTCTCCCCGGAGGGCTCCAATGGGTGTTTCTCCACGCACGTGTGCTACTGCTATGGGCATTTCATCACCCATCACCACCCGCCTCTGCTCTTTGATATTTCCAAAGATCCACGCGAGAGGAACCCGCTCACTCCCGAGACCGAGCCTCGTTTCCACGAGATCCTTCAGGTCATGCAGGATGCGGCGGATGGTCACGCCAAGACGCTGACCGCTGTGCCCGACCAGCTGTCCATGGGGAACCTTCTCTGGAAGCCTTGGCTGCAGCTGTGTTGTTCCTCCCTGAGGCTTTCTTGCCAGTGTGACAAGGAAAAGCAGGACAAGAGAGTGAGCCATTAGCCACGTGTCCTGGAGCAAGACAGATGCACCATGCCCAGTCCACAGTCTTCCTTGCAAATGTGTGTCTGCAAGTGGTACTGGGGAAGGCTAACCTCACCAATGCTCACTGGCCCTTGATTTTATTGCCTGGTCACTTGGCTGAGAGCTTAACAGTTACCCAAAGACCAAGGTTTTCCATGCAGAGCGAGAATGTTAGACGTACGCTTTCCATGACCAGCATGTCAGTGGGATGGACGGGGCATCAGATGGGTTCATCCAACGCCAGTGCCGGGAATTAGACGGTAGGGAAGTGCAGAAGGACACCTTGATTCGCCCATTAGCAAATACCTCTGCATCAACAGTGTAACGCGTCATCTGTTCCATCACCTGAGGCTCCATCCGCAATGAGTGCCACGGTTCCCCTGGTGCCCCAGTGACAAAGACAATTCCCTTTAAAGAGGGTTTAGTAAACCCTAATATATGCAAAGTGATAGTGAACAAAAGGCCATCTTGTTGACTAATAATAGGTGATGACAGATTCTGATTTGGGTATTGGAGAGCAACTGCTTTTTACTAATATTGGTTACAACACATGTTACACGCTATTCACCGTATATATATATATGTATACGGTTTCTTTCTTTCCTGAAGAAGGTCAAAATATTTCAGTATGGTGCTAGGAGTTTACCAGTAATTAGGAGGAAGCAGTACAGGTTCACATCTAGCTTTGTTTGTGCAACAAACTTTTGGTGGAATCCTTCAGTCACAAAACTCCCAGGCAAATCCCTCAGTTCCAATTGCTGTTCCCCAATTTGTAGTGCGATATTTAGGGTCTACTGTTTCTTTTGCAAATGGAAGTTCTGAACTCAAAGGCCACTTGAGGGATGCTGTAGTTCCTGGCATCCCTCTCAACGTCATTCCCAGTCATTGACATGATATTTTTGGGGAGGGAAGCAATAACAGAATTCACAAGCCATCCATAGTGTATACACATAACCATGGTGTCTTTACTTCCACGAAGGAGCCAATGGAATGAGATGAGTAGTTAGTGTAAGTACCCGTGTTTACTGAGATTTTATGCTGTGGCAGCTTGGCTGTGAACCAAAAGGTCAGCAGTTCAAATCCACTAGCTACTCCTTGGAAACCCTATGGGGCAGTTCCACTCTGTCCTATAGGCTCGCTTTGAGTCGGAATTGACTCAACAGCAACGGGTTTGGTTTGTTTTTGTTTTTTCATAACTCGGGAAATGTTTAAGCAGGTCATGTTGGAGATCGGCTGACGTTGACACAGTTTTTGAGGGAGTTCTGGAGCGTCAAGCACCACCCCATGCAGAGGAAAAGAGGTCCCCACCCGTAGCCACACACCTTCACCACCTCTGCAGACACGTGTCCGACACCATGATGGGGATTCCTTTACTGATAAGCAGAGGAAGCGGCTGTCCATTCATCCGCTTACCCATGGGTCTCTTCTGTATACATGGTGGAGCAGCCTGTATTTGCACAGCGTTTGCTCAACTAGGGAAAGCCCAATGGATCCCAATGTCCACATCCCCAGCCCATGCTAGGGATGGCGCAGGACCAGGCAGCGTTCTGTTCCGCTGTGCATGGGATCACCGTGAGTCACTGACTCGCCAGCAGCTAACAACAGCAACGACAATATTCCTCTCCTGCCCTTTCACATTCTAGAATTTAATATTTGTTTACGCTTTGTGTGTGTAGATTTGTATAACACTAAATGCACAAGTCTTAAGTTTACATCTGCTAAGTTTGGACAAATGCGCTTGCCTGTGTAACCTTATCAAGCTGTAGAATGTAACAGCTTGCTGGTAGTCTGGTGGGCAAGCAGGGCATGCTGGGAGATTCTCAAAAATGGACGTGAGTGCAAGGCACTATGGGAATGTATAGAAGGTATCCCTGACTTGGAATGGCCCAGTCTTAAGCTTTCTTAAAACTAACAATCACTCCCTCTATCCTTCTCCAACCCTGAGGGAATCCCAAGATTCCAAAGAGTTTCCCAAGTCTCCCTTTAATTCTGCTATTTCACACTAATTTTTGCTTTTCTTTTCTGGAAAAAAAAGAAGAGTTTATCCACCCATCACCCTCCCCCCAGAAATTCTTGGAAGCTGGAAACCAAACACAATTGTTACTTTCAACATGGACTTCCCATTTCAGATACCGGAGAAAATGTGTCATCTTCCTACTGAAGAGCGTACAAGCATGTTAATAATGTGTTAGGATTATTGCTGATATTATCATGCACAGACTATTTAAAGCCACTATTATGAACTTATATATTAGGATGACAGTGTCTACTCCGTGTCACACATCCTATGCGAGGGGACTTTTGGGAAGTACTTTGTGATGTGGGAATATACGTGGAAGGGTTGTATAACTTGAAGAGCTGTTATAGATTAGAGGAATGCATAGTTATATATAGAATTAATTATTTCATCTGTAAGATGGCAACAGCCAATGAAAGTTGAAGTTATATGTCTATTTTTTTTTTTCATATATTGTGCTTTAGGTGAAGGTTTACAGAGCAAATTAGTTTCTCATTAAAGGATTAACACACATATTGTTTTGTGACATTGATTGCTAACTCTGCGACATGTCAACACTTTTCCCTTCTCAACCTTGGCTTCCCCATTTCCATTCGTTCAGCTTTCCTGTCCCCTCCTGCCTTCTTGTCGTTGCCCCTGGGCTGGTGTGCCCATTTAGTCTCGTATCCATAGATGAGCTATGTGTATTATTGTTTTATGGGCTTGCCTAATCTTTGGCTGAAGGGTGAACCTCAGGAGTGACTTCAGTACTGAGCTAAAACGGCATCTGGGAGCCATACTCTCAGGGTTTCTCCAGTCTCTGTCAAGCCAGTAAGTCTGGTCTTTTTTTGTTTATTATTGTACTTTAGACGAAAGTTTACGTAACAAATAGTTTCTAATTAAACCATTAGTACACATTGTTTTATGACAATGGTTAACAACCCCACGACATGTCAACTCTGTCCCTTCTCAACCTTGGGTTCCCTATTACCAGCTTTCCTGTGTCCTCCTGCCCCTGTCCTTGCCCCTGGACTGTTGTGCCCCATTAGTCTTGTTTTCTTTTATGGGCCTGTCTAGTCTTTGGCTGAAGGGTGAACCTCAGGAGTGACTTCATTACTGAGTTAAAAGGGTGTCCAGGGGCCACAGTCTCAGGGTTTCTCCAGTCTCTGTCAGGCCAGTAAGTCTGGTCTTTTTTTGTGAGTTAGAATTTTGTTCTACATTTTTCTCCAGCTCTGTCCAGGACCCTCTATTGTGATCCCAGTCAGAGCAGTCGGCGGTGGTAGCCGGGCACCATCTAGCTGTACTGGACTCAGTCTGGTGGAGGCCGTGGTAAGTTGTGGTCCATTAGTCCTTCGGACTAATCTTTTCCTTGTATCTTTAGTTTTCTTCATTCTCCAAGGTTGTAATCTTTACAAAATATATGTCGTTTGACTTTTTTTCCCTATGAAACTTTATCACTTTTGAAACACTTTCTAAATTTTTTCACGTACATACGTAAAGTACTTCGGCAAACGGAGTATTTTCATTTTGTTGGGCAGATTTTAGTCTCAGGAAAAGACCCAAAGACGCCGCCGTGTTTTTCAGCCAGCTTCTTTCAGCAACCTTGGAAATGTCGCCTGTATTTAATATTTCCAATTAATTCATCCGATCCTGGTGTTTTTGCTTTTCATGAAGCGTCAGCTCCGTGTTAAAATCAGAGGGACGTTCCACAGCAAGGTCTGAACGTGCCATTGTCCAGAGGGCCTCTCAGGCTGAAGTGTGGGGAGGTGACAAGAGCCGCATGAAAAGGTTAGAAGTCAGCATTTCAAATAATTCAGAAAAGGGCACTCATGGCGTTTTATCAGACAAGGGATGCATGAGGCTGCTGACTGCGGAGAGACAGAGGGATCAGCCCTGCCATCCATTAGAGCCCTTATCAGTGAGACCTGCTCGCAGCCGTCACCGCGGGGACAGAAGCAAAGCAAGGTTCCGCAGCACGAAGCATCTCACCGGAAAGCACAGTGAAAAGTGGATTTAGGGGCTTCGGGCTGATGTTAGAGGCTGCAGTGTGGGGTGTGGTTTGCTGAGGCTCATGAATCCTAGCCAGTATTGTAACTGCTTTGTGGGCTAATATACTTTATCCTTAAAGAGGATTAGACCAGTAATGCTTAATGCTCTGCTCGGCCACTAACTGCAAGTTTGGGGGTTTGAGTCTACTCAGAGGCACCTCGGAAGAAAGGCCTAGAGATCTACTTCTGAAAAATCAGCCACTGGAAACCCTATGGAGCTCAGTTCTACTCTGACACACATGGGGGCACCATGAGTCGGGGTTGACTCCACGGCAATTGGACTGGCCTGTTTAATCCTAACCACAAGCCTATCAGAAGGACACTATTATTTTCTTGTTGTACGTGACGGAACAGACAGATAGCAGTACATAAATGGGTTGTTTCATGCTTAGGTTTATGCAAGCCATCTTCTGGTTAAAAAACTGCAAATGGATAGATTCACGGCCTCCATCTGTGACTGCACAGGCCGTGTACCGCACAGCCCAAGGGGGCAGCACTAACGCAGACCACAGTGGGAAGTGGCCTTCCTCAGTTTGTGCAGTACGCAACCTCTGCAGCCGTTCGTTAGATGGAGACATTGTGCAAACAGATGAATGTACAAGGATTGGATAGAAATCTTTCCCTTGATTTTTCTAGCAAGGAACACAAGACTATGCCATGTAAAGGCCGTATCTTGAATACGTGATCTAGCATATAAAACACCCGCTGCCGTCAAATTGATTCCGACTCATAGCAACCCTGAGAAATTTCCAAAGTGAAAGAAGCAATCTGAGTGTTTTTGCTGACAGTTGCCAACAAGTTGGTCCCTGACACATGGCGACCCTTTGTACAATGGAATGAAACACTGGTCAGTCCTGCACCATCCCCATGATCAGTTGTGGATTGGTCTGTGGTGATCCATTGAGTTTCACTGGCTGATTTTTGGAAGTGAATCGCCAGGCCTTTCTTCCTAGACTGTCTGAGTCTGGAAGCTGCTCAGCCTCATAGCAACAGGTAGGCCTCCACTGACAGAAAGGTGGCAGCTGCGCATGAGGCGCACTGGCAGGGACTTAAACCCAGTCTCCCACATGACGGGCAAGAGTTCTACCACTGAACCACCCGTGACCTTCCCACCCCAGTATGAGTGTACTAATCATTAAAAAAGAGCCAAAATCGCATTCAGATAAAAAGGCACACAGTTTTGTGTTTATCTCTGTTTACTGCAAGGCTTCAAACAAGTTCTACCAGGCTCAGTCATGGCCGAGGAAGCGTCACAGGGACAAACCCGAATTTTTTTAACGTTACGGTGAACTGGAAAGATAGCCAGAACGGGAAAAATTATGGGTCGAAGCCCTTCTAGAAACTTCATCTCCCTCTTAGAAAACAAGGGCATGGTAACCATTGCATAGCAACCAAATCTCTAGCCCTTGGATTTGAAGCACAGTCAAAGATGGCAGCGCCCCTCTCAAAGATGGTGGCGCCCTGTTCAAAGATGGCAGCCGGCAGAGGCGCTTTGAATGTGTGTTGCTTTCCTACAGCCCTGCCAATAATCCAGTCTCACACATCAGGCTCCTGAAAGGGCTCACTATGCCTCTTCCGAATCTCCCCTTCCCGGGCTTAGACCT